TATTCTTATTATCACTGTGGTGTGAGTTACTGATCTCAATAGATATAAATAGTATGTATCATCAATAAAAGGTGAAATACTTGGCAGCGGAAAGTTAAGATCCAAGGAAAAAAAACGAGAACAGAGAATGATTGCTGTGGAAATGAAGGAACAGTGAAGTCTGAAACGATTGATTGATATTTTACAAATGAAGTATTTACTGCATGGTTCTCAGACGTTCTGTAATTCGGTGTTCAGTTACATTCGAATGTCCCCACTTGTGTTCTTGTTCACTATTTGGTCAATAAAAAGGATGTCGTGCTTCATAAGTAAAAATTTTTTAAATCAAAATTTCAGATTTAAGTACTAATTATTCAAAATTGAACATCATAATAAATACATTAAATTATAACATTGAAGAAAACCTCTACAATATTACGTCAGGTGTGTGAAATATGGAGCCTACGACAAATCAATAGGTATTCCAGATGAATAACGGAACTGTACTATTTGTTTGAAAAAGTGTATTTTTAGAGTATATTATTGATGGAACACTCATTACTTTTATCAAAAAAGCTACTTTGTAATCACTATGTAGTTTCAATTGACAACGTCCTGCTTAAAGGTTTAATTTAATTAAAATTATGCCTTCAATTTATTTGAATGATTTCCTGGAAATTTCAAAGAATCTAATGGTACTTTTCATTAAAAAACCAATATCATTTTAAATATAAAAAAAATTATGGGGATATTGAATAATTGCTTTGTCTAATTATGGAAATACTCAAAAAAATATAATGATCATTTATATAGGGTTGAACTCAAAAACGTTACATCTGGTGGCATTCACATGGAAGAAAATAAAACACTCTGTAGAAATTTGGCTTTTTACATTCTTTACTTCGGTCGCTTTGCAATAGAGACCAATTATCACTGTTGCTGTTCAATTACTCCCTTACTTGTATATAAATTTCCTGAGCAAGTCACTACGTTAAACTACGCGAAATTCCCACAGGGGAATACCGACATAAATAATAATCTTCTATTTAACTACTGATTAACCATTAAAAAAATATATAGAAAGCCTTAATCTGTAAAGTCATTCATTTGAATAACTTTACTGATAATAGTAAATAAAAATAAAGCTAAATCATTAATTGACTGATATTTAAAGTATTATCCATTCTATTTCAACGCAACCAATGTACACTATAATTAACCTCATACTTAGATGTATTTTATTTTATTCCAATAAGTTGAATATGATGGAATATTCATTCATCAATATTATTTCTTCAGGCTTCATTATGACTAAAAAAATGGGATACACTGTAAATTTCTATAATATATAGATCACTGTTATCATTTGTTCACTTACTAATTTATAAAAAAATATCTTTTCTCTAGATTTAATTGCACGTCTAAATTGGATACGTTGGGATCGACTTGGTTACAGTGGTACAATCGACTGGTCATCTTCAATTCACTCCGACTACCATCAGTAAATTTTTAAAAAAATGATTTATACTTCATTCTGTTGTTTTATTGTTTATTTGACTTCATATTTAAGACTTAATTCATTGAACAAAAAGAAAGGAATTCAACGAAATACTGTTGAAACTTAACGCATAATACCATATCCCTTTGTAAAAAAAAATTCACAGTGTATTTGTTTTATTCAAGTTGGTTCGATCTTTTTAAACATGCTTTTGTTTTACCTTCCTTGTTACAGTTTGTTTCATCGAAAATGAATAGTTATTATACTTAATAATTTAATTTCATTGTATTAATATCTACTGGCAAACTCATAGCTAGTACAGTAGTTACAAGGTTATTTTAGAATTAATTTAAAGGAAATAAAGATTTGAACAGATTAATATGAATTCAGTTTATTTCATTGAATTTTCATTCACTGCTTACAGTCTATAATATGTAAAATTAAAATTACACAATGAGTTGAAATAACTTGAATAAATGAGTTTAGTTTCAAGGTGTTATGAACATGGAATAGTATAGTATAACAAGAATGTAAATCGGTTGAAGATAATAAATTGAATATTGTACAGAAGAACATTCTACAATATTGATAATAGCAGAATTGTAAAGAATTACTATCAAATGGTTAGGTAATGAACAAATGTTAATAGTAAGTAAGAAAAAAATGAATAGGTCTCTGTTAGTTTACTTAGGTGTTTGTTATCGAGCTTCAGAAATGTAGTTTGTGTTCGAAAGAAGATAGTTGCCAATTTTTCTCTACCTTGGTGACAACAACGTCTCTTCGTTACATCATGACATTTTTTCACTTAGCATTGTTTGTTTATATCTTCCCATCGATGTTTAGGACTCCAATCGTTCAGTCTCTTATTGACATATGTGCATCCTGTGAGGATTGCCTTAATATTACCTAAGTCACAATCAATATAAGCAAAAACGGATGGTGGCTAGCAGTGGAACCCAGGACACACGTTTCGTCCTAGTTGGCACTCGTCAGCTGGATGTACTTGCATCCCAGATCTGACGTTCACCCCGTAACTCGAACCCGGTACCGTTCGCTTCAAATGCAATCACATTATCTACTTAGCTGCTGAGTCCTGGTATCCGCTTGAAATTTCGTCAAACTCTTTCAATTGATTGTAATGTTGCATCCATATTTAGACTCTTCTAGATCAACGATTTTATTTTAACCAATCTAGCTTTGCTTATTCTATCCTTATTTACTATTATAATTTGTTCATTACCTAACCATTTGCCAGTAATTCCTTAATATTTTGTGAAATTTTAAAAACAAAATAATTGGTATTGGTATGAATATAACACTTCACATAAGCATATTAAGTGATTCAGAAGGACAACGAAGCTCTGGGCTACGTTTGTGTTACTCGACGCTAGTTAGCAAGGCCTAAGTTTCATTTCAAGGGAACTGTTGTTTCATAATGGAGTTGAACCAGGCCATCTACAATTATAATCATATATATTACGAATACACAACAATGTCCACAATTGACCTATGAAAATCAAATGTTTTACAATAGCTACTAATTTGGTAGTAACCAACATCATATTGTTTATGATTGAGATCATGAACCAATTGATGTTAGACCATCACAATTGAAAACCTGGGAGCACTGGACGGCCGTTTCGTCCTATTGTGGGACTCTTCAGTAGTGCGCATCCACAACCCCGCTAGCGGGATTCGAACCCAGGGCCTTCGGTCTCGCGCGCAAACGATTAGCCAACTGGACCACTGAGCCGGCATCCAATGGTGATAGTTTCTAACATCAACCAATCCACGAAATTGTGCGACCAACTTCCACTGTACTGAGGTAGATACCTGTCTCTATCCAATGGTGGACGAATCGGCCGTCCAGTGCTTCCAGGTTTTCAATTGTGATGGTCTAACAGCAAGTGGTTCATGATCTCAATCAAAAACTTAATAATCTCCACAACCCCTATACTAGTAATCATATTGTTTAATCAATCACTTAGTTGAATTGTACTAAATCTACTTGTGGACACTAATTTAAATAACTGGAAAATAATACACATGGGCAAGTTTTAATTACATTCACATAAAATATCTCGTGTTGCTCTAAAGTAAAAGATTTAGGTGGACCATTGAGCTACAGATCTTGTGGTATCTGTGATTTATTGAGTTCCCACAATTTTAACAAATACGTTATTAGAAAAAAATATGTGAATTCTAATGAGGGGGTTTATGGAAATTAACACAGTTTGTAAGTGGCATTTGTCACGGATTAACCTCGGCTAGAGCACCAGTAGGAACTGAGTGGAGCGAATATCAGAACACAGCACTTCTACTGTTATTCGACAGTGTCAACCTTCTCATATATTTTAACCTAAGTAAGATTACGACTGTAAAATGACTAGATGACTTACGGTGATTGGTCGAACCAAGGGGTAAACTAAGCAACAAAATTATTTAGGTTATGTAGAATAACAAAAACTATAATCTGAAATACGCAAGCTTCCAAGTTATTAGTCGACGGCCTAAGATACTGAGCATCAATAAAGCCGCTTCCTGTCTATTCTTTTAATAAGTTAAATTTATTTAATAATACCGAGTACTTTGTTCCAGCAAGCATTAAGAGATGCATCAGTACTATGAACTACGTTATTTACCTACCTTCTTCAAAATCCACAAATGAATTAAGACAATATCCCTAGTTTTCTTTTTTAGCTTTTGTTGTGACTTTAAGTTGTGGTCGATTTTTACCCTATGCTAATTGTTGTGTCCTTGACTGAAAAACTAGAGAACAGCGTATTTATCGACCGATTCAATGACACGTGAACACGTACGAACGTAATGGACGACCTAGAGTTACGATTGGTCCCGATCCCCTGTCTATCCCAGCCAGTTGAGTCCAGAACACAAATCTCAGCCTCTGAGTTATGAATCATTGTATTTCAGACATACTCTATTTATATACTAACCAAACATACCACATCGTACCATAAAAATAGAAAACAACATTTTGTACAACATTCAACAAGTGGACGGATATCGACCAGTAGGAAATGTCCATTTAAAGTCCAAGGACACCATTGGACTTAACATGATAATTATTGGTCTATCCTTCCGCATCCACAACAGCTTTGTTACAATCTCTTTATCTACATTTTGAATAATGTTACTACATTAGAAAAACAGTCCTGTGGTAACCGTCATTTGTTTCAAATAATATTGTAAACACATTAGAACAAGTCAACATGAACTTATTTATTGACTTAGCCACTATCTATAACTCAGATGTTCTAAAATACAAGGGAACAGTGTATCTTCATTTCATTCTTATAACAGGGAGCAAATAAACAGTAAAGATCATGAAGTTCGTTTATTCATCCGAAAATTTCAGTGTACAAAAAACGTAAATGTCAATAGCATCTAGAAATGTTCAGTAGTATGATCGTAAGGAATTATTAAAATGAAGATAAAGCCAACATGGTAAATATTCTTTGATAATTCAAACAACAAGATGAACAATAATAAATTTGAGAAACTGGCTCAAAAGTCGGTTAACTGATTATTAAGAGCTAATTATACTAAACCTGAAAAAAGTAGTTAGGATAACCGATGTGATAGGTAAGCCATGATAACTTTAAAATACTTTACTCAACGCTTGAATAGTACGACAAAATCGGAGATGAAAGGCAACAAGACACCTATTTGGAAAAACTTTGAATAACTGTTAAGTCTTTATATAGATCGAGTATTGAGAAATAACTAATATCACGTTCTGATAGAGTTCTATCAATCAACTTGTAATTTAGCCAATAATTCAAGTGACTCAACATTTCATGCCTTAGGCTTTAATGTTGGTTAATTGGAAACAGTTGACAACAAACCCTAGACCTAAGTTTTATGAGAGACATAACTCGTCAGTAAGAGGTTCTTGTGATATTGAGGGAACTGACAATTTCAGTGGAATTGAAAGTACAGTCACTCATCTTTGCAGTCTGAAACGCTAACACTGACCAATTCGTGCTGTAACGAGCCTTTTAACATTTAGTAATTCTACACATTTCAACAGAACAATTAAAAAGGCTGTGTCCGCTTCATTATAAATAAATCTAGTCTAACAAAATAATTACCAATATGCTTAGTAAACTTATATATAAAGATCACAACTGCTGGTATCAAAGTTTTGTTGAATAGATTTCGATAAAACCACTTCCTATCATTTTATTTATTGCTTTTTAGTTTACCGTATGATAGCTAGTCAATAAAAAATTGTACAAAAAGAAGCTAACTCAAAATCATTTTCTGAGAACAAAATGTAAGATCACACACAGGGAATTTACAAAACAAGAAACCGGTTGAAAAAATCTAATTATCCAAATAAAGCTACGTTAAATTAAGGGGATAAAAAGGCAAGATAATTCCTTTATGTTACAGCAATGTTTCATTGACACTTTTGGTTTCGTTGTCATGACTGGCAGGAAAATAAATATGTGATAAAAATAAAATGTACAATACATAAGTGATTATGTGGTTTGGTTGTTTTACTGAAACAAAAGAAACCAAAATATAAAACAGATAGAAATATTAATGTTTTATCAATTAAATGAATAAAATGCAGAAAACGAAAAAAGCAAATAACCCATTTTATAGAGTTTGTTCACTTTGGCTTTATGCAATAAAGTTTCTACAAAGTTGGTATTTAGATAAATAGCTAACATGCATGCAGATCATAAAATAAATGCTTGCAGAGATCATTTATATTCAGGATAATGGTTTAGTAGTAAGTATACAACTAATAGGTATAATAGATTGACTAGGTTGTATGGTTTGCGAAGTAAATTCTAGTGTTGGACGGGTAAAACTAAGAGTAGAACCAGGATGAATAGACATGATTGGGACGGGGAGAAATCCGGATACAGTAGTCAATGAACAAGGTGAAATTGTTGGTATAGTGATACATTCATTACTATCTATTCGACTGCTGTTATTATTATTATTACTGATACAATTATTAACAATAACAGTCGCAGCAGGAGTAGTAGTCATAGCACCAGATCTAAGAGTTTGTGATGAATTATGATCTGGTTGCTCTGTTTTATGAACACGATCATTAAGATTTGTCGGAGTATGAGATTCAGAAGCGTTAATACGATGGTGTTCAGATTCAGTGCTACTAATAATTGCAGTAGATGATTTAAGAGGCAAGGATTTGACTGGTAAATCGGGAACAGTCCACACCCATTCTTCTCGTGTACTTAATGACCAGGGGCAAGAACGAGCACGCATAAACTCCGGAAGGAAAGCACGCAGTTCGTCGTTGACATGTGCATAAGCTACCTGTAGTATAAAGAAATACGAATAGCAACAGTGTAGTTGATGAAAAGACTATGTGAAACCAATTTTTAAAGATAAATACATAAACAGAAATTAATATCAGTGTAATAAAAACTTACCTGTGATTCATTAAAACTAACACCACAACCAGAACAAGTAAATTTCGTCCGCTTTTCTGGACCGTTTTCAATAGCGGATATTGGCTGGTAGCGAAGATGTAGTTCAATAGAACGGAATAGAGCAGCTTCTACACGTTTAGCATCTTTGTAGTGAACACCGGAACGTATACGCATACCATCAGAAAAGTATCGGCCTATTTGTCTTTTCACATGTTCTGTCAGTCGTCCGTATTGTGATAAATCATGTTCGATTTCCCCCTATAAAATAAATAGTAAGTTAAACCAGATATGTAAAATATACTGAGATACGGACTATTAAATAATAACTGAAATTTGTCACGTTAAATCAAAATTCGGTAATGTCGGATAACTAATGGGTTTCCTACTTCTTTCATGGGTCGAATACTAATCACTCGTGGTTAGAAGACTGAATCTAGTTTAACATTCTGATAACATACGGATAAGTATAAGAATTATTTATTTGAACACAAATATTGGTACAAGGGGCCACCAGATACATATGCGCCAAACAGATCTCATTTGATTTGTGTGGGGGCTGTGTTACTGCCCGGGTACCCAAACCGAAGCAGGTGGTTTTCTTAGGAGGCCATACATGGAGCCTTCGACCTAAAGGTCTGATACACAAGGCAGTGAAGCATCGTAAGGAGATGCAGTCCCATGGTAGCCAGTGACCAATAATTGGTTCATACACTATTTGTTCCCTCAGGATACTAAAGCCCATGTGCACCACTGGTTTGGAACCAGGGTTTTCTAACTCCCTAGGTGGAGTCACTGTGTCCACCAACCTGATTAAAGCGCCGGACATTCGATTTTCGTCCTTTCAATTCCGTAAACAACACCCGGCCACGAGAAGGCAGTGAGTAGGAATTCTCTGACAGAGGCTATATACGCGTGACCAGCATTTCGAGAGGGAGAGCGGACTCTGCCCACTCTCAGTCGTACCAGGGCATTTGGGGGCAAATATAAGAATGAAAGTAATAAAATAAAGTATTCTTATTTATTTAATATATAACATGAAAATAAAGAGCAGTGCTATCACAAACAAAAATGTACGAAGTTTTCACACTAGATATTTCACAGCAGTAACCAGCGCATTCTCTATTGTTTGTTTTTGCGGTAACTGACCTTATCAATAGTTAGATGCTTAGAATTTCAATAACAGTTGTTGCATTTTGAGAAAACGTGAACGATGAGAAAATCAGCAAAGTATAAAAATGTTGGTTTAACAGAAAAACTTAAATTTTAAAGGCAATTAAATATAAACTATCGTGTAATTATTTAATTGCGAGTATAGTGTATTTAATTAGATAAAACGTAGAGGAAGATATTTGTCATGAAAAAAAGATTTTATTCGTTTTATTCTTCCTAAGAAGTCCGGGAAGTCGATTTAAAGAAACTGGATCATGAAAATTCACGCTACATTAAAGTTGCTTACTATAGTGCATTTAAATATGTGGTAATTTGCATAAGAATCGACTAACTTACAGAAAGTAAATGCCTTGTAACTGCATGAAAAACTACTTCAGTACGACCACTATATATAAATCGCCTACATACTAAACATATGAACTTCTTATCAGATCGTGTAATCAGCTTTGACCAATCTTGCCAAACTACACGAGGTTGTTTGACCGAAACGTGTCGATTAGGTTTTGGAGAAAGAGTCGGTGTTTTGTTAGAACCTGAAGGAACAAGGTTGGTTTGAGTGCCAGAAGGCATACCAGACGTCAAACTAGAGCATGATTTATCATTGCTAGCAATAGAGGGTACACTTTTTGAACTTCGTTCTTTTTTTTCTGGAGATGTATTAAACTGAATTTCTTCACCTTCGTAATCTGACTCACTGGAACAGTGGAAGTCATCGTCGTCACATGAACCTAGTACAATACGCTGAGCCATGACTGCAGACTTGAAATAATAAAAAAAAGGCAAAAAAGAGTTAAAAAAAAACCGTTACTTCAAAGATAATACAAAACTGTGAGACTTCTCATTCTATAACAAACTTACAAAATTGCAATATGAACCTAATTCATCATATCAATGGTATGTATTCTTCGTTGTCAATATTCAGAAATGTGTTGTTGCTCTACCGCAATAAGGTGCGTTTTACATAGAGCTCTTGATCAGGTTTTGTATATTTTTTTGTTTAAACTTTAAGTTGGCTTACCTTACTGAGTAAAAATTCCAGTTTTAAAATCCTGACAAGAGAAGTCAATAAAAGTACGATTTACTCACTGAGTCAGACTTTAAAAATCCAGGCGATTTAATTAAAACTGCAAGGTTCCAACGAACCAATGAAAATCCAATGGTCAGATATCAATGCGTATCGCCCTAAACTATGAAGACTATAAAGTACAGATACGCAAAGCTTCGCTTTATAACTGAATAAGCGAAATGTGGTTTTCCATTCGCTTTACATTTTTCATCTTTCCTAACACTGAACTAGTTTCATTACTTAACCAACCTTTTTATAAACCACTAAAACAAAGTCGAGTTGAAATGGGGCTTAACGACTTACCACATACCCATAGATTTATAATTTCGACTACAATAAATTATAAATGGAACATGTCCTATATGAGGCCCATATCTGTGACCATGAATTTAGTTTATTATGTTGTGAAACAACAAAATCTCTTCTTCGGGAAAATAAAACCAGATTTTTACAATTTTAAAAAATATAACTAACTTGTTCATCCGCCTTACGCTTTCTCAAGTGAACTGTAATGTGATCTTTTATTTGAACATGATTAGTTGATGATACACCACAAACAGAACAGGTGAAGATTTGCAGCTCAAAAAAATGAACTCCTGAAGGATCCAAATGAACACTCATTACATGCTTGCGGAGGTCGAATGTTGATGTAGCAGCGAATTTACATTCAGGACAGCATAGTGAGAACATTGGAGATTTAGGATGTTGAATACATCCGACGCTTGTCAGGTCCATAATTAACCACCTTAAATTGAAAAATCTACTGAAATTAGGAAACAGAAACTAATCAAGAAGTCTTTTTATATTTTAAGATTGTATTATTAATGATTTTCCATAAAACACATCAATTCAGATAACCTGCTCATAAGGTCATTATTCGTTGTTTCATTCTCAGAACATAATGCCTGATCATTGTTTGACGCAAGTTCACCGGAGTGAAATATAAAACGGCTATCTGGACAAACTTCCCAGCCTCTACCTAAGAACAGTTCGAACACATCATGGGAAGAAATACTTAAGTAATCACATAAGAAATCAACACATATGTGTGAGTACGCACGAGAAAAAAGGTCTGTAATTGAGCTAAGCTGTCTATCACGAATTTGTTTGACCATTTGAACGAGAATATCAGGCTGTTTAGGATCTGCCAGAACTTGTGAAGCTCGAGAGAAAAGAGACTTCGCATCATTTCGCACAAGGAACCGACCAAGATCCCACAAGCACTTGATCGAATCATCCTCCTTAATTTTAAGCGGCATTCTTTTATATAAAAATCTTGCATTGATCAAATCAGATTTCATCAAATATAACCCCAAATATTGTAAATAAAAGTCGACTGGTGAAGGACTTCCCAACGATGTGGGACAAGACTTGGAATCAAAATTTAGGGTGTCCAGGCCTAATTCAAAGGCTACCATTTCGGCAAGCTGTTCTTCCAATGCCGAGTCATCTGACATTATCCTCCTCTACAGTAGCACACAGTCTAATAAAGCCGCGAGAACAAATACAATAAAAAATATTGTTTATGCGTGATAAATGAATGTTATGAATTTTCAGCAGCTATTGTATGAGTAAACTACTACTATTGTTAGTCGGTATTTATATCAAGCCTTTTTATTACTCTGCGATACATCCCCATCTCACATCAATTGCATGTTCAAAGGCTGGCTAGAACTTATTTATTTTTTCCTGTTCATGTTAGAAAGGAACTAAAAAACTAAGCAGCTTTGAAACAAGTTGATTGTATATCATTCAAGAGGCTTTTGATGATGTTTGACTTTCCGAACTTTATACCAAGTACTTCACATGTAGGACATATAGGTTTATTCTTCTTCGACACAGAAAAGTTGACTAAAATCTCTTTAAACAGTAAGCAAAATAGTTCCGGTTTAGTACTTTTTGTATACGTCAATTAAATGTAGACGATGCATGACACTGAAAAATATCTTCTGACTTCTTACACTTTCCGCTCACTGATAACATTAGTGCCACGTAGAACTAAAAGTGTGGTACTAGTTGCAGCAAGAGTGCATATGTTGCACACATGAATTAAACAAGCACAGTAATTATAAAAGAATATTGACTGAGAACATCGGCAATTAGGCAAAATCGATAAATATAGATCATGTTAATTTTTATGTAAGGCGAAAAGTGTAAGAATTACAGAGTCAATGAGAGACTGCTTAGCGGATACACAGATATTACAGGGACGTGTAAAAATATAGTTATAATGATTAAGATCACATTTTTAAATAACAGTATAACCAGGGAGAACATAACAATCTATTTATCAAGTTGGGTTCGTAAGATTTCCATCTTATCAGTGCATTAAGTGCTTCTTTGAACAGCATCATAACAACTCTATAGGTGCGTGGAGCATTTTCTTCTTCGTGACTAGGGTACAACAGTATCTCTTCTGGATCTATTCTTTCTGTCCGTCTTCAGTCCATTGGGTTTCATATATGCTAAAAACCGCGAATTTGTTTTCTCATTTACATAGCTAACTGACTGAACCCCCCGGTCTTCTACATTATCCGAAAATTCCATGTACCTATACGAATCGTTCCTCTAGTTGTTAGAAGGGGGATCAACTTCGTGACTTCGCAGAATTTCGACTTTCACTATGAGGCGTCATATTTCCTCACACAGAATATCATTGGACTTCGAGAACAGAGTTGAAATGGGTTAATTCCTTTATCCTGAATTGCGTTTTTTTTACGAAGGTTGATTTCTACCTTATAGGGTGGCTGACCCTACGCCCAACCCTCCTTGACACGTTCTTGTGAACAACAGTAACCTTAGAAGAGTTATCGGTGGAGTGGAGTAGCCTCTAGTCGCATTAGATTTATGTGCTTGTGGTGTGAAGTGTTTCTTTGGCCCGATGTGTGCAACACGTTCAATAGTCGAGGAATATGCCGTTGAAATCAACCAAAAACTAAAAGGATGAGCTAAGTTAATAGATTTGAATTGAGTAAGAGTTTGATTTTACCTTCATTGTCGAAGGAGTCCTGTAGCGGTTAATAAATCCCCCAAATCAATAGCTTCATAAGCCTTCGACATTGGATGCTGACCACATTGGTTTGGATGGATTGACCTGGCTGAAGGAGCTCGATCATGCATCCGCATCGGATGACGAGTGGAAACGCAGTGCTCAACTACTCTTGTAACCGCTAGCCAGTTAAGATCCGTTGCTTCTCAACTTATTGACAGCCTATCACATATGTCTTCGAACCTCATCGCTTCTGACTTTTAATAACACTGTGTGGGCACAATTCATTACAGGATTTTTTTAACTGGTTCAAGTGTTGTCAAACTATAAACATTTGGATGGTAGTCGGTGTAGGCACACTAGATATTGCTAGGGATGAGTAACACAGAGTAATGGATAATGATCTGGTGCAGATGCATGATCAAAAATCATTAAGTAGGGTTCACTCAGAAAAAACTAATGGGGTTAGTGTCGATGTTGTAGACTTACAGAACAATTTGTTTTGGGTATTTTAATATCGCTTCACCGACTGTTCAGAGAAAGAAGTTTGCCACCTGAGCCGTGTCAACATCTGATCACAGCTCCAAACCTAACCTACTCAGCTATCAGTATCCACTAGAACCAAGAAGAATGAATTCATTGATAAGTGTTGATAATGCTAAATATTTTGAATCTAACTATAGTGCTACGGTGTTCTTTCGAAATAATCATGATCGAGCACACTGAATGAAGCTGCATAAATAGGCTGAAAAGTTCACTTCACTAATTCGCTTAGTTTATAAACCAAAGGAGTTTTATTTTAATAATTGTTCGATTAGCGTAACTTAGACAACCACGCGGCGTTTTCGACGTTGAGCATGTGTTACAATTTCAAAATGTCATGTTCAGACTTCTAGTTCCACTTGCGGAGTCTTCCTAAATACGACTGTTACCACTGACCTACTTCAACGTTTTTCAATAATTAGAGTAATTTCGTTTTGCACATTTATCGAACGGTCGCTGATCTTGTTATTCTTTTCATCCTTCTTGACACAGTAAACACTGCAGTGTACTCTCCCACAAAACTCAATATAATTTCAGGATAAATGAAAAGCACTACAACATTTTGGTCAAATGCTAGTTTTTAATGTGAATGGTGAAAAGTCTCAAAGAAAACAATGATATTGTTGACAGATATTATGAAGACCCAGCACGTGATATTTACCGTCTGAACATCAAAAGGCCATTGAATCAAAGTTTTCTGACGTTTGGAAATTCGTCATCTCTTTCCATTTACTCCAGCTGCGGTAACAATGCGGTTATCGTTAAGAAAAACGTTTCGTTACGAAAAAACTCTTCACAGCGCTCAAAGCTCTGTATAATTTTATAATATGCATAAAATACTTGAAAAACTGAATATATGTGGCTCCTGGTAAGTTTGGCTGTAGAATAAATTTCTTCGTGGTATTTCGTTTTTTTTGTGTGTACAGTATTCGGTATTTTGGTCTGAAGGTCATGTTATGAGCTCATCAGTGGCTGTCCCAGTGAAGAAGATTAAATCGTCGAAGCCTAAGACGCCGGCCACTCACCCATCAGTAATCAACATGATCAGTGCAGCAATAAGTTTTTTTCCAGAAATTATACGCTCAACTGGTTAGCGATATAGTTTCGACATTTCGAAAGAATAAAAGTTTCCCTAGTATCTGTCTAAATACCCTTAGTTCCCTTATTATTTCAGCGGCGACTCTAATTTATGGACGACCTTTGAACAAATCTTGAGCGAACTTTAGAAATGTCAGCCAATCAACCAACAGTCAGTATAGATTAAAAATATGTTATACGAAACCAAGGAAATAAAGTTGATACACTTTTTATACGTGGTTCAAAAACTGGTCAGTGTTAGAGAGAGGTTCTAAAGTCGTAATACATGCAGCAGAGGAAATCATCCATACGGCTACAGAATAGTCGGCCTCTGGAGCCATTATAAAGTCTCGAAAACTCTTTCAGCCTCGACCACATAGCTTCAATATTGTTTATGTGCACTCCGGTTGTTGAGTGCACAAAATGCTACTTGTGGACAACGACACGATGCACATAACCAAGCCTATGTAGGAGTTTGTACGCCCTCCAAACATCCGTATATATTGTGATACCTGGCTGCAGCGAGTGTTACTGGTGCTTTTATTATCCAGTTCGCAATAATTTTCGTAATTTGCCTTAGTTGGGAATTATATATGCGGTTTTCACCACTGACATCAGCTATGATGCCAGAAATTTATTTAGCCAAATGGATGAAAGGCTATCGTGTTAAAATCCGAGATCTCTTATCTTGTACCTAATTGTTTCGCCCACAAATTATAGTCTTGCCGTTTTATCTGTTATAGCCACTCATTTATCCCGTTTTATATAAAATTCCCTGTGAACCGATCGTACGTTCGCATTAAGCACTGAAGTTGGCGCCGTAACCTTGAGATCTCTAAAACGCATCTGATTGGCTCGTCCATAAATTAGTCTCGCTGGAGAACCCTTAGTAGGCCTTGGAGATACCTTACATTGTCGTCATCATTCCAAAATTCAGTCCCCCTTTAACCAAAACGTTTATATTAACGGTTCGATTGTTATTAACATAGTATTCCAGTCTGGGTTTCCTTTCAACCTTCTGCATCCGAGTCATATTACTTGTTCACAAACAAAATTTTACACTACATTAATTTTCTGGTGAATGTATCTACCATAGGTGCAACGTGTCTTACACCTCGGAAGGAAAGTCGCCGCCTGCACGTGTTGGTCATTCAACTCATGCTGTACGCATGAAATGTGGGTACACGGGCAACCGACCATTGGTTATGATGATCGGGGGTGCAGATGCTTCTGGAGTATTTAATGAAGCTTACATTCTGGATATATTATCATTTATGTGGTACACTGTTGATTTGGAACAGACAATTGATTTTCCAGGTTTGGGAAGGTATGAACATAGCAGTGCAATTTTAAACAATCAGGTGAGTTGAATTACTGCAGTTCATGCACATTTCATATTTACTCACAAATCACTTTGGTTATAAAGTAAGTGGTATGTTTTCAGAACGATCATTTTATTTGACGTTAGATTGGTAATTTGAGCTTCCTAATTTTATAGCCTATTAAAATGCCGTACACAAATTCAAACAAGTGCATTTGGTTGCAAAAAGTGGGTGTATTACTAACCAACTATTAAAATGGTAATATTCCATACTACTAGTCTGTCCAAACATCTCATTTTCTCATGAACTAAAATGATAAACAAAATCATACTACGCAAACTAAAACCTATAAGTTAATTAGTTCTAGTAGTCATATTTGTCATTATCACTAAGGGCAAACGTCAAACAAATGTGAGGAAAATAATATTGAAAAACGTGTAGGTATAAATTTGACGATAAATCCATTAATTTTATGCCGTTTTGCTTAAAGCCACCCCCCTTTATTCTATAACTAATGGTTTCTCCGACTCATCTAGTCATTAACTTGACAGCATCCTACGTCAATG